ATGGCTGTTGGATCTATTTTAAAATAGATTGAGGACACTTTAATAACTCAATTAATGTTGGTTTATTCATGACAATTAGTTAGTTAATATTTGCAATATTATGAACACTTTTCTTTTTATTTGAATTTGAATTTGAATTTGAGTTTGATTTGGAACAAAGTGATGACTAGAAAAATAATTGTGATAACTTGGCAGTCATTAGCAAGAGACTACTGTAGAATGACAACAGGGTGTTGCAGTCCCCCTCTTCCAATGGGCGACACCACCATCACATTGCCTGAATTAGTCACCCCTTCTTCCAATGGGCCGCAACACCACCGCTCTGTCGCCACATCACCCCGTTTCACCACTGCCGCTTCGTCCCGCCCCGCCGGCCGAATCTGACAGCTACCGTCGTCGCGCTGCGCCGCTCCGTTGGATCCGCCACCATGTTCTTCCACTCGGCTGCCGCTGCTAACGATGTTGTCGAAACACACGCCAAAGAGCTACTAGCTTCCGTGGCGATTGACTGCGGTACTTCAGCCGCTATGATGCCGAGCTGGAGTGCGATGACCAACGACATTGGCTTGGCACCTTCCCGTTGACGGAGTCCCCCGTGCGCACCTTTCACATCAAATGTTTGAGGTTCGACCAACCTCAGAGCAAGACAAACTTCCCAGAAATCAAATCTCGGGAGGTGGCGGAGTTCATCAGCCCATCGGTGAACATTGTATCACGCGCGGCGAAGAGGGACACCCACATCATCCTCGAAGAGGAACACCTGGGAGAGCAATGAGGTGACGATGGAGAGGTTCGGTGTGGAAAATCCACGCCTCATGCAGGCGGAGACATAGTGGTCTTGGAAGGGGAACAATGAGCGCAAGAAGGACGAGGCTGGCCCCTCTAGGGCGATCAAGCTTGAGTCCGACGACAAGGTTGAGCCTGACGACGAGAGTGAGGAATTCAGTACCTCTAAGGAGGAGACCATGGCACTTTGGAACACTGTCGACACACGGTCTGACAATCCGTGGCAGAGCTAGGAAGAAAAAACTGGGCGGGCCATCCTAGAGGAGAACACAAAAATAATATTTTTGAACTACACTAATTCAACATGCATTAGCTGGGTACATGTGCTTGTGCAGTGCTGGTTGCCGTAATAATATTTGATGTTTACCAGATAGTACAGTGCCCCAGCTGCATGTGGGATTGACCTAGTTCAGGGCTAGCTAACTAGCTAGGAGCCTACCTCAGAGCATCTTCAACAGCCGCCCAACGCGTGGCGCGCTAAAAACCAGTTTGCAACGTGCTGACCGCCTGGTTTGGCGCGGCGGGCAGCACTGGCTCCAGCAGCCGCGGTAAAATGCGGCGCACGAAAATGCAGCGCGCGTGTATAGATATTTTGTTCATAGATAAAAGACCATACATAGTTTATAGCATAGATTAAAAAACGATACAAAGATATTTTACATAGTTCATAGCATAGATAGATAAAAAGAACTACGGTGCAACTACATAATTAAACAACGGTGCAACTAGATAAACAACGGTGCAACTAGAACTACTCCGAGTCGTCCTCATCATCACCCTCGCTGGTGTTGTCTGAGGTAGAGACCCACACGTCCTCCCAACGTTCATCGTCGGACGTGAAGAACGACTTCCCACCGGCGTTGACGAGATCGCACTGCGATATGACCAGTGCCTTCCGCCGATGCTGGTCCGCCCGCTCCGCGCGACGCCTTGTCGTCCTCTCCGCCCAGAAGGTGCGCTCGTTGATGACGTCCTCCGGGTGGCGCCGAAGCCACTCCGCCATGGCTCGCTCGTCCTCCTCGGCAATGAGGAGGCAGCGATGCCGCCGACGGTGCTCCGCACGGTCCAGGTCTGTGATAAGACGAGGAGGAGGGGTGATGGCCTGCGCCTACTCGCGCGTGTAGACGTCACGGAAGTTCATCTGCGAGCGAGGCCTCTCTAGGCGCCACGCCGCCGCGTCGTACGCGCGGGCGGCCTCGTGCGGGGTCTCGAACATGCCGAGGCCAAGGCGGACTTCGCCGGACCGGATCTCAGCGTAGTACGCGCCGGAGGAGCGCTCGCGGACGCCGCGGTAGCCCGAAGATGACCGGCGGTGCGGCGGCATGGTGGCGCGATGGTGGCGGGGCGCTGAAGCGGCGAGGAAGCAGAGAAAGCGGCGAGAAAGCAGAGGAAGCGGCGAGGAGGTGGGGGAGAGCGCGTGTGGTAGTGTGGAGCACCGTGTGGCGGGCGCCGCAATTTATAGGCACGTCGGAAGCGGTGCGCCAAATCTACCGTACGACCGACAGCTTTCTCCCCTGCGCACGCAAACGTTTACCGCGCGCTTGTTTCCCGCCTCCGCTGAAGCGCGCGAAAACTTCCCGCGCGTGCTAAATGGGCATTTTACCGCGTGCGCGCGTCTTTTAGCGCGGCTGTTGGAGATGCTCTCACAGAGTGGTGCCGGAAGCAAAGGAAATTCAATACTGCATGCAAGGACATGAGCGACCGAGTGTTGGACTGGACACGGTGGCGGAGACAGGGGGACCAGCAGGGGCCCTGGCCCCCCTAACGTCATTCATTTAAGTCTAATATGCATGTTAAGAGGTGATAAATTGTTGCTAAAATGATGAATTTTGATGCACTGGCCCTTCCAAACCAGGCTTAACCACACTTGGCCTCCCTCATTGACATTTCCTGGCTCCGCCACTGACGTCTGGACATGTGTAGTATAAAATTTTCTTGGAGGGCGGGCAGGCTACGGTCTGCTTTTGCCCTCACGTAGCTCCGCCGGTGCTGACAATGACGATGACGAGTAGTATGCGCGTAGGAGTACTCTCTGTTTTAAGTTTGAATGTTTGGATGTTTAGATCGTTGCATGTCTGAATCTTTTGAGTGTTTGGGAGTTTGCATTTTAGTATGCAATGTGAAGTGGTTTCGATGTTTGTTTGAAAAAAAAATGTTGGCCCTATTTTAGGGCACCCGTTGAAGATGGACATTTTTTTGTACCCAAAAAATTATTTTTTGATGCCTCAAATTTACTCTAAACACTTGTGCCGTAAAATAGGACAACTATCGAAGATGTTCAAAGAATCGAATGTGATGTTTTTTTTTAATTCACTGCACAGAAGAGGATCGGGATGATGGTGGCACTTGATGGTCGCGTGGAGATGCATGCCGACGTTGAGGCTAAGCAGGGCCGTGCCTTCAAAATTCAGGGCCCCGTGCAAAATGAAAATTAGGTTATTTAAAAAATATAAATTAAAATATTTTGTATAGATATTGCGATGCTACAGATTTTTTTCAGCGAATTAACAGTTTATCTTAAAATGTAAATCTACCCAACAAGAAAATATTAATGAAATATCAGAAAGAACAAATATTATCAGAGTAGAAACTAATTAGAGGGGTGAAAGGCTGGAGACCATGAATGGCAGCACATGCGACCGGATCGCTCTACTAAGAATCATGTAGTGCAGTGAATGAGAAACAAAAATACGGAGCGAGAGAGAGAGGCGTGAGGTTGGCCTGAAGGGTTTCATGTAGTCCTTGGATTTTAGGGTGAGTCCTTTTCATTTATTTTGCTCTTAAAAGCCCATTAGTACCACCGATCTCTGATTTTGAGGGCCCTGGAATTTGGAGGCCATGTGCAACTGCTCCAGTTGCACATGCCAAGATACGGGCCTAAGGCTAAGAGGGTGCTTGAATACGTTTGTCTCATGATTAAAAGTAGTAGGACTAAAACTTGTTACCATCATCCATGCTTGGATCTAAATACTAAAGAGATTAAAATTAATTTAATAAGCATTTATTATTCTCCAAACCCTTCAATCCAAAACTCGTCTGTGTTAAAGAAGAAGAGTTAAATGAGAAGAGAGAGGACTAATCCACATTTTAGGAGAGGTACATCTGACTAAAAAAAATTAGTTTCAAGACTAGTTTTAGCCCCTCTTTAATCAAGAGTGCTTGAAACTTTAGCCTCTTAAAAAGACTATTTTTAGTCAGACTAAAATAAGTCCCTTGGATTCAAGCAGTGGAGAGGAGGTGGTGGCCATTACGCGGGGTGGGGAGGAAGACACGCCGATCCGCTGGCTGCGAGCAAGCTTTAAACAGAGGGTGCGAAGTGCGAGCATCTACGGTCAGTTCGGCTGACGCGGGCATCATCGACGATAGCACAAGATTCAGATCGTTTGTAGAAATGATTTTCATAAAAATTAATACACCAAATTTTCAAACGGAAAAGCTAACTAGCGCCTCTTTGTTGGGAGAGCATGGCAGGCATTTCGAATGTTTTTCCTGGCAGAACAAAAATGTCATGTTGTTCTGAAGAAACTGTCACCCCTGATCAACTAAAACTGTCATAAAAACATTTGCAAATGCCAGCCCCTCCCAGCGAACAGTGTGCCAAAGAGAGTCCTTTCTCAAATTGGACAACGTACTTTCAGAAACAGCAACGAAAGAAAAATCAAGTAGACTTACTTCCCAAATTGATATTGTTACTGAAAATGATTACACAAAACCATGTCATGCTTAAATTCATGTATGACGCTCACTTCCCAAATTGGTATGGGTACTGACAAAAATTGTCACGCAATAATGTTGTGCATAAATTACTGTTTGCCGCCGCCACAAGACTATTAAAGTAGCTACAAAACCATCATCACCAAATAATAGTTGAATTGTAACATTTGTATAGAATTGTATAAAGCAAACACTCTCATGCTAGCCCGTGCATGAGTTGACGACTGTAATTTAAAATTACACACAATCGACATTGCTTTTAGGCATCCGCATCAATGTGTCTACAAGGCCATAAGCCAAAATATGGATTTATGGCCTGGCCATATACTACATTATTATTATATACAAATTGTATTTCCAGGGATAAAAGTCTGACCAACCATTCAGAATAAACTTTCCAACTGCGGTGATTTCCTTACTGTGTGACTCATTGTAAGGTAAAAAATGTGACCACACACAATGCATGCCCTTAAAGATCGGTGTACAACATAGCATGGACATCAGAGTTTGGAAATATGGCACCGATCACAGGGCTTCAAAACCTCGACATTAACACCGTCGGGAACTTGCCCCTCAACATGTCTTTTGATAGCCTTGACACCTTCAAGGGCATCCATGACTGCTTCTCTATCCATATTTCCACATATGCCTGAATTACCATAACCACTAGTAGTGTCGAGCACAAGGCATTCTAGTGATGAGGAATTCTTAAGAATTTGACATGTTAGCTCAATCAAGCTCTTTGACGAGTTGATTCCAGTGATGGATGCTTTCTTGAGCTTGTCATGGCGGAATCCAGGAATCTTCCTGATATGCCAAGAATCCACATCCAACTTTTGGGAAGTTGGCTCTGGCCTTAAATAATGTCGACTTACCTGAACAACATCAGTATTGATGTACTACCAATTAGGCCTTAAAAACACAGGAAAAAGAACAGGAATTGTAAAATAGAAGAATACAAAACACAGAATCTCGTAGACTTGGGTGTTAGGTTCACAGAAATTCGAATAATACACGAATCCTAAACAAAAGGGTCAAATCGCATGAAAAGAGTATAAATAGCATGTTATTATGCACTGAAGATCTCAGTCCTGTTTTTCATGCGTAGGAATGTGTAAAGGAGGTCAAAAAGAAGATGACACATGAAGAGAATGAAGCATTGAGCACAAAAGCATAGCCCAAGAAAGAGGCAGACAAAGCTCTGTAGCAAGAGAATGGGCATAGATCGACAATGCAAAAGGAGGCCACAAAAAATCCTATAGGAAACAATAAGGGCTAGGAAAGGCCACAAAAGTTGTATAGAAAGGATCCGGACCAGAAAAAGGCTGAAATATAAAGGTTTGATGGACCTGCATGGCATGAGAAACACGAAAGAGCAATGATTTTGGTGGACACATCAGCAAAAAAGGCAAAGCTAGGAAGCTGATGTGATCATGGGTGACAAAGCTATTTTTTCACATCAGAAAATATTTCAAACCGTGCCATGTGCTACAACAAAAAAGGAAGAGGACTTGAGAGTTTCTACTAGTTGCATGTCGACCAAATTGAAGGAGGTGCTGTTATTTATAAAGGAGAAATTACAAACCAGCTTGTAGTTCCACAAGAAGTAAAGCCAACATTTAGAATGCCATGCAGATGGATCATGGTTGGTTCATTGTCCGTTCAGATTGCTTAAGAAGAATATATGAATTTCGTTTTCCTTAGTCCAAGAATTATGGTTGTGAGACGTGAAGATGTTGAGATCTGAAGGCAATCAGAATTGGCAGATTCCAATCGCGCCGGTTGTTTCCTTCATTTTCCAGTCAAATACAAGTTACGTTCAGATTGAGTCCTATGATTTTCTCAAGCAAGGACCATGACTCCGAACGTTTTTTATGGCAAGTTCACTG